GACCTGCTTCATTTGAGTCAACAGATGGAGAACCATGGGCCAAAGGGAACACTTAGGGGGCCAGTCAGAGCAAGTGCATCAAGCACAGTACGGATGGAAGATGCCTAATAGAAGGGAGCAGGGTGATGCGTGGGGCTGCCTTTGAAAACTCATGAAACACAAGGTTGAACTTGAAGCACAGGCTAGGCTCAGCTCACAAGAACCTAGTCCCTCCACCCCACCCCCTTCCCTCTTAGGAACACAAGGCAAAAGAGATGAGAGCTAAACAGGAGGAGACAAGGCCAAGATAGACTGCCAGCTAGGCTCTTAGGGCGTGAGGGAGGGACAGGTGGCCATTTCTAAACGCAGCTCCAATGCTCTGTAAACTGCACTGGGCTGGATACATATCTCCCAGTGATGGGAAAACTGTCCTACCTGGAATCTGCTTTAGATTTAATGTAAAGGGATAGTCAAAGATTAAAATACATTTGCTTTGTCAAGTCCACTCAGGGCAAACCCCCTTCCAAGAGTAAGACTCAAGGGGAATACACAAGCAGGCATGCGGTCTGACTGGTGACCACGTTGGTCGCTGATAAGGGGAAGTGAGGGGAAAACAGCAATGAAGATGCGAGCTATGCCCTATAACATTCAATAGACTCTTGTGAGCCCAGGTGGAGACCTGGTTGGCCAGTAGTATGGCAAGTTCTGGTAGCGTAGCGGTTATGAATCAGGCTGCAAACCGCAAGGTCAGCAGTTCAAAACTACCAGCTGTTCCACGGGAGAAAGATGAAGTGTTCTGCTCCCGTAAAGATTTACAGCCTCGGAAACCCTTTACAGGGTCGCTATGAGTCGGAACCGACTCCACGGCACATAGCCACCACCAATATGGCAAGATCTGGGGACTCTTGGGCCCAGTCAGTGACATAGCCACAGAGGACTAGAGTGGAGAGTGAAGCATCCAGCTGATGAGAGGGCATATGCATAAGAACACCCACACTTAACAGATAATACCCACTTATCCTGGCTTCAATGACTGGATGATCAGAGCTGAACTAGAATAGAGGGAAAAAAAAAGTAATCTGATATAATTTGATGAACTTGACCTACACCTATGGATGCAGTAGCTCAAAAGAGGGTGCAAATCTTTACAGCGAGGATCTTTCCCACCCCTTCCATACACAGTAGACAGGGATGGGCAATTTGGACATTGGCTACCCAAAATGGGGGGCGGGGTAGGGAGGCTAAAAGGCAAGAAGTGACTGGCTTACAAGCTTTCAAGAGGGAGCCTAGATCCAGAGGGCGCAGACAAAGGTAGAATCTTCACTGAGTAGTATCCAATCTGTCTGGGCAGGGCTGATGAAAGGAGATGGGGATAGGTCCCTTGTACAATGGTGAATGTTATCAGGACTGATTGTGAGGGTTGGAAATGTAAAGGTAGACATTCTGTACCAAAAGGAGGGGAATGATTGACTTTGCAGTCTAGGAGTGGAAGTCCCTAAGACCATCAAGGGAGAAGAGTAGTGAGCGAGACCCTACCCAGAGAAGCAGTGATGCTGGGGATGGAGGCAGAGACGATGACGTAGGGAGATGGAGCAGCTGGTATCTCTAGACCCAGAGAGGGAGAGGGGCTGATGGGGGGTGGGGGAGAATGCATGGAGGGGATTGTAACCATGGCAATGAAAGGATACACTATAGAACGAATGTAAAGCTAATGTTCTCCCATGTAAACTATCACATAACTCACAGTAAAACATTAAGAAAAAACAATAGTTGTCTTTCCATCTAGTTTGGCTTGCTAGAAAGGTGGGACTAGACAAGCACTGTTGCCTGTGTTGTTTTCCTCAATTTAATATGGGACTGATGACTTCTAGTTCATTTATCATTGATTTTTTAACTGATGTCTCTGGCAACTCAATGTTTCTTCCATTGAGCCCTTCATTCACCCTGTTTTTCCTGCTCCCTTAATTTGGCAAGTAGAGAAACCAGGACCTGAATTTTTTTGAAAGGTATAAACGTAGTTGGTATGATTCAAACATGTAAGATGATGAAGAAAACCCAAATCCCAGTTCTATTTTTTGTCTTGGAGGTTTTTCAATAAATTTTTGTGAATTGGGTGAAGGTTTACAGAGCAGATCAATTCATTCGGCGTGTTAGCTCCTTGGACTGCATGCTCCACAAAGCAACAGCTCTAATCCCACTCCCTCTGTGCACTGTCTGTTGCCACCATTCCGCCTCCTTTCCTAAGCCTTCTGCACTGCATGTGTCAGTGCTGCCTTCAGTCCTTTAAAGGGTGGTGTGCCTACCTCACTAGGTACTGCTCCCCTTACAGAACTGAGTGAGGGCGCCATGGGAGCAGGGAGTGGGAGTTGATTTCCAGATTGAAGAGTAAGAGGTGTAGTCTCAGAGCTTCCACTAGCATCTGGTCTTTTTCAAAATTTTGAGTTTTGTTCCCCATTTTTCTCCCACTTTATCCAGGATCTTCTAATAACACAGCAGTTGGTCGTGGTTCCCAGGAACCATCTTTTCTTCTGGTCTTAGGGTCCTGGAGGGGTTGAGAATAAATGGTTTTGGAGAAGAACTAATTCCAGTTCACAGAGTTCCAGGACCGAGGACTGGAAGTGCTGGGATCAGGGATGGGAGCCCAGGACCTCTCTGAACTGCCTGCTCCCGGGCAGGGACCCCAGCCCAGGGCTGTCTGACGGTGAGAATCACACCCAGGAGTGGGCATGGAGACTGTGAAGAAGCCCAGTTGCTTCCTGGGCTGACAGTATCTTGGAAGAGGGCTGGGTGGCACAGGTGTGTTGAAAGGCATAACTTCTGCCCCTCCCTGTATGTCATTTACTACTTACTCCTAAAGTAAATAGAAATGAATGATGCATTTAGAAGTGTGAGCTGCTAAATGAAACATACTTGAAATGCATCCAATGTAGATGGAGAAATAAGATACAAATATGACAAAAGAAACATAGAAATGTCCATTGTAAAATTTAGGTGGTGGGTATATAATTATTTCAACTTTTGTATGTTTGAAAATTTCCATAGTAAGGTGCTGGGGGAGGACATACCTGCAAACCATGCCCCTCCCACATGCCCAAGATAGCTGTCAGTTTCTAAATTTAATAGATGCAGCTGTGTTTCCACACACTTGCACAAAATAGTGTCATTATCTGGAGTCCTGGTGTGGTGCTATAGGATAAGCACTGGATCACAAGGGCGGCAGTTCAAACCCACCAGCCACTCCTCAGAAACCCTGCCCAGGATTGCCAGGAGTTGGAAATGACCTGACGGCACTTGACAACAGTGTCATCATTTAGAATTTTAAGGAACTGAGTTTTTTACATCTTACAGATGTGTCCAGATCTATACATGCTGCATTACAAACTTGAATCCATCTCAGGTGGAGTCCTGTGGGAAACCTCCCAGAGTTCAGAATTCCAGTGCCTAGATTTTTCCCACAGCCAGAATGTACCTGCGTTCATCCCCTGGCCCTTGCCGGGGGCTGTTAGGATGGGAACTTTTAAGCCAGCCAGAGGGAGTGGTGGGGGACTAAGGGAAGGGTGACCCCAGGTCCTGTTGCTAGCCTGTTCTAGGGAGAGGCTCACCCTTCACTGCTTCTTCTTCCAGATAGCCGTCTTGGAATCTGGTAATTTTCCTCCCTGGATAATTCCTTTAATATAGGCCTGTTATCCTGGAGAAATTCAAGCCAGAAGGACTAGGAACCTGACTTGGATCCTGGCCTCAGTCTCGAGAACAAAGGGAAGACACTGGACCATGCCTCACACACTGCAGGGTGTTGGCTATGTCGTAGTTTCCCAGAGAGTCCGTCTTATTTAAAGTCTTGGGGAAAGCTATGGATTATTATTATTTTTTTTTTACATTAAGACAACCATCAGTATACAGCAGAGTGGAAAATCGGGGTAACTCTTATTAAAATAGGTTGTGAAGAAATTTTGCTGAGCCTTTATAAACAACACTGTGGGCTGCACATCAAGGGAGTACATCTGACTCCCTGATACCATTAAGGAAACGTCAGTGGGAAAATTAAGAAGTTTTGGGAGATGGAGGAACTCCTGCTGCTCCTGGGGAAGGAAGGGCAGTGAAGGGGGGGTTTCAAGTTAGATCGTTTTAAATCGTTCCGTGCAATGAGAAGCAGAAGACAGAAAGAAAACTTAGTAAGAAATCACTATGTGTGGTTTCGGAGGGGAGGGGAGAAAGCCGACTGCTCTGGCTTGGAACCCTGGACGAGTCCAAGGAGGAGACATTGGTCCTGCATGGGCTCACTCAGGTGCACTGGGGCAGCCGGGGTTTCTGGGTGAGGAGGCGTTGTGGGAGCAGAGCTTAGTGGGAGTGAGAGCTTGGGCAGGCCCCTCTCAGCCCCGCCGTTACCTTCCTCAGCTTTAAGACGCTGTCCCACCTGTCTGTAGAGGACAGAACACACCTGATGCATTCTGGGTCTTCAGTTTGTTCCCTTAGACTTGCCCTAGAGCAGTTGAACAGGAAAACAAGCAAAAGCCACTGAAGACATTAATGGTGCCGAGTGATGAGAGGCCCCGAGGAGCCAGGGCACCAGTGATGAGCCGGCTGTGCTCAGTGAGGCTCTGCCAGCACAGTCAGGAACAGCCAGTGGAGGCAGCACATCCCCAGACCACGAGGTTTTCCACCTTAGTATTTAACAACGCAACAGCAGGGTGAATAAGCATTTGGGTTGTTTTTAGTTACAGAAAAGGAGCCTTTCCCAAGGGCGACAAGTGAACTGCAGGTTAGGAGGAAGCTGGGGGCGGGCCCTCACAAGCTCTTGCTCCAGCCTCTGGAAGTGATGGGAGAAGGACTTCGTGGATGGGAAGACCCCTGGCCGGGAACTCCTTTGGTGGGGTAGGTGGGGCACCAGCTCAGCCTTGGTTACTAGGTTGCTGCAAGTGGGCTCTTAGGTGATTTCCACTTGGGGTGAGTTGGCATGATTAACTATTCTTGGGGGGCATTAAATTAAGCAATAACACAGGGAGATGAGCCAAGAGAGTGGCTTATTCAGTTGGATTCTGAATCACAATCAGGAAATAGTCTTTATCTGCAAAAGAGAAAAGTGAAAAACAAATCACTGAAAGTAAAATGAAAATCACAAAAGTGAAAAATACCACTAAAGTCACTACACATAGAAAACATCACAGGAGATAGAGGCAGAGATTGGAATGATGTCCCTACAAGCCAAAGGCTGCCAAAGATTACCAGGAGCCATGCGGCTCTGTAGGATCAGCACTGGATGGCTAACTGCAAGGTCGGCAGTTCAAACCCACCAGCTGCTCCTTGGAAACCCTATACAGGGTTGCTATGAGCCGGAACCAAATTGACCGCACTTAGCAACAGCGTTAGACGCTGAAGGAGGGGCAAGAGAGGGTCTTTCCCGAGAGCAGGGCTCTGCCAACACCTTGAATTCGGACTTCTAGTCTCCATAATGGAGACAATGCCCAGGCTTCCAGTGACTAAAAAAATAGGAGACAAATGTACAGGTCTGTAGGGACTCCTCCAGGTTTGCTTGCTGGAAATCACAGCAAAAACCCCAGGCCCACAGATAGCCCTGGGCAGGGCCTCATCACACATCCTCTCTCCTAAGCCAGCACTACCCATATAGCATAAATACTGTAGGGAAACTCCAGTTCAGAGCTTGTATGAGTTGCCTGAAGCACCAAACTGCTGGAGTCTCCAATGCCAGCATATGTACCCATCTCCTGCAGCAGTGTGCTGATTCACTGAGAACAGGCTGAATTGCTGCTAGTGAGCTTCCAGGCTGTCATCTTTACAGGAGCAGACTGCAAGCCCTGTCCTGTGGAGCGGCTGACCTTCTGGTTAACAGCCAAGGACCTAAACCAACGTGCCACCAGACTCCTTTGTTGTTAGTTGCCGTCAAGTTGATTAAATTCATGGTGATCACTTGCAAAGCTGACTACAACATTTACTGCTGGGTCCACCTGAGTTTCTGGGTCAGCAGGTCTTAGATCAGGCCCAAGAATTTGCATTTCTCACAAGTTCCCAGGTGACGCTGATGCTGCTGCTTCTGGGAGAACCACCAGCCCTATGATCAACCAACTATCTAAGTGATGAGGTCTAGACAAGACATTTTCAAGGGCACCAGGTTGAAGGGGCTACAGCTGCTTGGATTCCAGCTCTGGGGATTCCAACAAGGTGGAATGTTCTTCCTGAAATCACAGGAAGTCCAAACCATAGTGGAGTTCAGAGGTGAGCTTGTCCGCCACTCATTTTATATAAAACTGCAGACGCAGGAAGCTCCAATTCTGCCCACCTAATCTTCTAAATCAGAAACCTTTATCAAGGCTTCCACATACTCTACATTGGACCAAAGACTTCTGTTACGCTATGAATCCTCAAATCATGGGAATCTGGAGGTAGGTAGTAGCCCTTTCCCAATTTGCAAATGAGAACACTTTACAAATGTGGGAACTGCTTTGCTAAAGTGATAAGAGCTAGCTTTGATCAGGACATCTAGGCTGCTGCCTCCCACCAGGTCTCACCGACTTCCCAGGGGGCAGTGTGAAAATGTACACTCTGGAGCAGTGCATCTAGAATGGAAACGCAAACTAGCAGGGGTTCAACTGACCAGGTTTGAAATTCTGATGAAGCGAGTGAGGTTCCTCACCAGTACTGCTGCTCCCAAGCAACTTCAAGCCCCCTCACAGCCAATGACACTATCACTCATGCCTGAACCAAGTTTACCAACCACTTTTTTTCTCTATAAAGCACACCACTGTCTTCTTCCACTTAGGAACTAGGCAGCACTATGCTTAGGGGACATTTTAAACAGAAAAATCACCAACAAAAAGAAAAATATGAAAAAAGTTGCACTTTAAACAGAAAATGCTAATTTGTTTATATTTATAGCCGGAGAGCTGAAATAAGCAGGCTGAGCTTCGCCATGTTCACCTCGACTGGGAACGTGTGTTGGACCACTCCAGTATTTCGTGCTCTGTGCGTGTTCACAAATGACTAAACCAATTTGAGCTAGTAGACAAAGTCGCAAACATAAATCTACAGAAAATGAGAATCGACTTCCAATCATGACTATGGAAAGGGTAGGATGCTCTGTGGAAGAAGGTACTGAGGGGTCCCTAATACGGACTGGGGGAATGGACACCTCTCTGGGGAAGTGGTACTCAATCATAGACCAAATGGATAAACAAGCTGGTTAGCCAAGGACAAAGGACGATGGGAGCACATGTGCAGCCCTGAGGGAGGGGTTTAATTCTCCAGGTTCTGCGAGGCACTGGCTGGGGCACAGTGCTCAGGGTGTTCAGAGAAGACAAACATTCCGCAATGTGTCTGCACCCACTCCGAAGCATACCAAGATTGAGGGCGTGAGTATGAGGAGGAGGGAAGGGCTCACCAGTTCACACTCGCTGCTGCCCAAAGTAAGGGTCTGGCCACCTCAACTCTTATACAGAGTTTCAGACGTCCTGGACAAGGGTTCTGCATGTCCTGTCACATCAGGTCCCTTTGCTGCTTCATGAGAACTAGCCTGGCCAGGAGCTTTCAGATTACCTGCTCCTCCAAAGAAGACATTCTCAGAAACTTTGACCAACAGACATGGTTTTAGCCAGTTTGTCTGATTCGGAGACCACATAACTTGTCCTTGCTACACATTCTGAGCACCCCCAAGTAGGCCATATGGTCTTGCCCTGACACAAGCGGATAGAGGCACCTTTAGGGAAGTGGAGATTTGTCCAGGGAGGTTGTGGGCACTGGAGACTGCTCTGTGGTTCTCTCACATCCACCTAAGCATCGGTGCCAGGTGAAGAACCAGGGCTACTCTGCTGCTAGGTGGGGCGGAACGCCACATTTTCCCTTTCACACTCACATTCACACTCTGCAGCCAGTCTCCTTCCCATCTGTGTTTCCAAGCCCAGGGGCATCAATGTCCCAACCTCCCCACTGCCACCCTTCATCAAGCCTGGACACACAATCCTATCATCTCCTGCCCTAAAAATCTCTGCGTACAGAATTAAGTCCACAAAATCTAAGTGGGATTCGAGGCCCCTTTTTCCCTAAATTGGAATCCACCTCTCACCTCCCACTCCTTCCTACACATATTCTGATGGTCAGACCATCTGTGCTGCCACCTAGCTGCATCAACCTGGGCACACTTCACTTACAAGAATTCAACAACACGGCTCAGCCAAAAAAGGAAGGGCAAAGAGAGAAGGAACAATGCAAACAAGTCCTGAAGAGTCGGTCCACACTCCAGTCCAAGTGTGTGAATAGGACCCTCCTGGGGTCCCAGCATCTCACCACTGTGAGACTGATCCTAAGGCCTAGAAACAGGTACTGCTTAATACAACACAGCTGCTGAAAGCAAGCCAAGAACTTCCTGAAAAGCACCACCAGAGCTAGAGGAAAACCTGGCTGCATTGGTGAAGAGCACGGCTGGGGAACCTGTTTTCTGCCCAATTTTTAACATCATTTGCAGGCCATACAAACTTATCAACTTAAAAATTAAGCTGCTATATTTAATCAGACATTTATTTAATTAACTTACCTCTCATGTGATGACAGAGATCAAGAGCAGCGGTTTAAACCCACCAGCTGCTCCTCGACAACCCTATACGGGGTCGTGATGAGTCAGAACTGACTCTACAGAACTTAACAACAAGGTGATGGCTGGAACTGCGGTTGCCTTGGCAGGGCCAGACCAAATGATTCTGAGGGCCTTATAATACAGTCCACTGGCCAGATGTTCCCCACCCTTGACTGACAGAGACAACATTGTAGTTTGTAAACACACATTTTCCAAGGATAAATTATGTAAGCAGTGTTTTTGCCTTGCACCTTGGTCTAGAACCACTGCGTTACTTTCCCTCCAAATGTAGCTTTCCCAGCCTCTGCCTTGCTCACACTCCTGTGCTTTCAAGACTCAGCTCAAGCATCATCTTTCCAGGGAAGCCTGTGCTGGTGGCCCGTGCAGGCCACATCACATAATCTTCCATGTTCCAAGTGTTTCCCTCATCAAGGCAGAGGCTTCACCACATTCCCCGATGTGGCCCAGAACCAGGACAGCTTGGCCTAGAGTCTCTGTGCATGTGTGTCTATCAGGAGCTGCCCACTGGAGAGTGGCCAGGCAGTGAGGCAATCGATGAAGTACCTTTGACTCTTTAGTTCTGTGGAACCTGCAGGACTACAAGGTGCTGTTTGTCTGATAAGCTATAATCTACTGTGAGGGTCTTCCCTAAGTGAGGGTACACAAGACTCCTTACCTGGTGCAACCATAATTTCATTTTTCTTTGAGCGAATTCGAAGAAAGGTGAGGTCATTCTGGGGGTCAATTTCTCGCACGGTGCTGCGTGCCTTCAAGATGAAGTTGTGCATGAGGTTGGCGTACTGTGTGGTAGTGGAGTTGTCCATGGTGCTCTTGATGGGAATGCCTGAAGGAAGATAAAGAGACTGGGTGGCTTCTGCGAAGCTCCCCATCCTACTGCCCCTAATTCTCTAGTATCAAACTGACAGTAACTGAGGGCTTGTCATGTGACAGGAAGAGTGCTGAGCACCTGATGTACATCAATGCCCGTGCTCAGAACTCCATCCCCAGCTTTGTTTACTGATGAGGCAATGGAAGCAGAGTGGGGAGGCGATCTGTCTAAGGCCACACAGCAGATCAGCAGTGGGGTTGGATTCCAATACAGGCTCAACTGTTGGCTTCCTTTTGCACAACTTCGGCCTTAATTGGTTTTAAGAGTAAAAGGACAGATTTTCATGCACAAGCCTTACAACACTGACCGGGAGGAACAACTCTTTTAGTAAATGCTGAAAAGAAGGAAAAAGGTCAGCTTGTGTCTTGAACACAATCATCACTAAAGGAAGCTTAGGACCAGTGTCAGCACATCGTCTGTACACATGACCATGCTCCCAACTTCTGCTTCCATAACTATTGTAAACAGCATTGCTTCTGGCTCTAGAAATCCCATTAAGTGGACATTCTCCTGTTGTTGGATTTTTACTAGTATAATTAGCTGTGTTGTGAGCATTACTGTGCGCCAAGCCTTTTCTGTTTTGAGGATATTTTCCTGAGGTGTATTAAACGAACCTACCTCTGTGGACAGTGCCTTTTGTCATGGAGGTGAGGAATGTGGCTCAATTCTAGCCACCTCTCACCACAACTGGTCATCCAGGTACCTGTGAATTGGCCATGACATGTCAATAGGAGGCTCCATTTATGAGGCCCCACAAGTCAAACAGCTGACACTCACATTCTGTTGTGAAGAATGTGGCACATTTGGCTCCTCGCTCAAGTGGCAGGGCAGGGTCCAGGACCCTGTTAATCTGACCCACAACTCTTCAGTCAAATGTAGTCAACCTCAGGCCTACCCAGCGAGTGGCAAGAAATTAGCACAACCTCTTCAAGACACCAGGAACACAAGAATGGGCAGAAGAAAGGGGCACAATGGTATAGAAGCAGCTGAATCAGGCAGGTCGTTTGAGCCAAGTCACAAGAATACATCATAGTGACCACTGACCTTTAAGGGACAAGGTGGTATCACCAGGGCTACAGGATCCTGAAAGGCAACACTATGTTCACCAGGGCCCCACGAGGTCTCTCTGGTTGTACCTTCCTGGGGTTGGCAGCAGTACGAGCAGCGAGCAGCATGCCCACTGCACTCTGAGTGGGGGGCTCAGGACCAGACGACCTAGGTTTATACCCTAGCTCTGCTCCTTAATGGCTCCATGGCCTTAGGAAAGTGATTTAACCTCTGGAAGCCTCCATTTCTCATTTCCTGTTCTACAAATGACAGTTTCAAAGTGCTGCTGCAAAGACTTGTTACTGTAGGCCCAACTCATAGCAACTCCATGCACAACAGAACAAAACATTGCCTAGGCTTTCCATCAGTTATGGACTGGAACATTGTGAACCATACGGTTTTTCAGATGTAGACCAGAAGGCCTTTCTTCCTCAGGAAGCTTGGTTTTAACTTGTACAGCATCACAGTACCATGTAAACCTCCGCTGACAGACTGAGAACCTGGGTCTCCTTCACGAAAGGCACAAACTCTGCCATGGAATGCCCACTGCCTGTGCTGTGAGGACGACATGTGGCTCACCTCCTCTGAGTGTTTAGCAAGAGCAGGCACTGAATTTTGTTTGGTATCACTATCACCATATAATTAACTGGAGGGGACTTTTTTTCTTTTAACCTGAAAAGGCCTTGTTATTGTTAACACAGGGTAAGGACACGTGGTAGGATGGGCCAGGAACCTGGCTTCTGTTCAGCAGGAAGCTCTCCTCCCTCAGCTCAACCTCTGGGCTTAGATGGCAGCAGCCTTACCCGTCTCAGGCTTACCTGATCATTCATACACCCTGACTTTTTATATACACACGGCTACCTTCTTTCCCCTATTCATTCTTAACTCCCAGAAGTGTCCAGTGTCGGCACCTAGTCCATGTCAGCACCATGTAGTAACCAGAGTGCGACATCACACTTCAGGGACCTGAGCATCACCTGTAAGCTCCCCAAGATCAGCTCTGTTCTGCTCACCAGTGTTTTGGGGGACCACAATACCTTATTAATTAATGAATGGTGACAAGGGTTCAGTAGTTCAGACAAATAACGGCACGGATTTGATCTATCAAGTGGGAAGGGTATATAATAACAACAAACCAAAACAAAACACAGAGATGGGCCAGCGACCAAAATTGGGGAGAATTTCACACAAGAACAACCGACAAATTGCAGACTCACAGGCTGTGAGAGCTGGAGAAGACCAGAGACATGATGGTCTAACAAGCAGGCCCTTGATTGAGCCTCTGCTGCCACAGGTGGGGAACATACAGTCCACAGGAAGTGGTTTCTAACCCAGGCTCTGATTTGTCAGGTTGGGTAGCCAATGTCTTCCCACCACCTTCCCTGCTGCTTCAGTTAAAAAAGAAAAAGCATTAAAAAACGGAACATATTTATTAAGCACCAACATGGAATCCTGGTGTGGCGCTGTAGGATTAGTACTGGACCAAAAGATTGTGGTTTGAACCACAAGGTCAGTGATTCAAAGTTACCAGCCACTCCTTGGAAACCCTATAAAGGGTCGCTGTAAAGTCGAAACCGCACTTAACAACGGTGTACCAATATTGTTCTAGGGCCTGGGAATACAGTAGTGAATATAACACAAGACAAATTCCTGCCCTCTAGAGATTACACTTTTGCTATATAAAGAAAAGCAGAGGGTGGCAGAGGTCTGGAGAGGTACAGAAAGATCTGAATATTCTTCTGACTCCTTAGTTAACACTACATAAATACACATTTTTGCTAGGAGATTCCAGTTGAATTCTACCAATTAAATCTGTCCAAGGTAGAGAGATGTCAGAAGGCAGTGACAAGTGGACAAGGATGTGTCACGGGCTGAGGTGGGCACATTCACTCTAAACTGGTGGTCAACTCATGGGTGTAAAAACTGGATGAGCTAAGATCGCTGATAAAAGCATTCCTAAATAATCATCTTTAACCGAACTGTCTACAGGAGCCCTGGTGGTGCAATGGTTAAACACTTGGCTGCTAACTAGAGTCAGTGGTTCAAACCCCCAAGCAGCTCCACTGGAAAAAAGAACTGGTGACCTCTTCCCCTTAAGATGACCACCTAGGAAATCCTATGAGCAGTTCTATTCAGTCTTATAGGGGGAGCTCTGAGCGGGAATCAACTCAACAGCACAACACAACAGAGGGCTGAAAGGCTGCACTGAGAAGTGGGAAGGGTCATCAGCCCAGAATCGAGGTTCTGACTACCCAGCTCCACAGCACGGTGACCTTGGGAATAGCATCTCACTTCTTTAGTCTCAGGTTCCTCACTTGGAAAATGAAGGGCCATCCCATCTTGCATGGTCACTATGTGAAATATAACTAAGAGGCCAAGGAGGTGCTCCTACTGGGTTACAAATTAAATATGTATAAAACACACACACACAATTGTATGGCATTTACTATGCACCAGGCATGGTTCTAAAAGCTTCCCTCAGAGGAAGTGTAGTGTTAGCCACATTTTACAAACGATAAAACTGGTGCTGAGGTGAAGTGACCGCCCAAAATCACACAGCTGGAAAGAAGCAGAAAGCGAGGCGGTCTGGTTTTGCATTGAAGACCCTGCACATTTCAATCTCGGAGTCTCAATTTCTTTGTAAATAAAATGGGTTGTTGTGAAGATTCAATATTGAAAGCACAGGACTAGGCAGTGTTTCATTCTGTTGTACACAGGGTCGTCCTGTTGTACACAGGGTCACTATGAGTTGGAACCGACTTGATGGCACCTAACAACCACCACCTTTCGGAAAGAGGAGCATCCGTGGGGTCCTTCGAGGGTGGGTAACATTTGGATCAGTACTGAGGGGACATGACAGTCCAGACAAAAGAAGAAGCAAGAGTTAAGGCAAGACTTAACAGAACAAGTAAGCACTCTGGCGTGCTTTGTGTCTTACCTATGAAGTTAGAGGGCAGAGGCCTGGAAAGCTGTCCCTGTAGATCCAATGACTGGATCAATGTAGGCAACAGTGTGGCCTAGTATCAGAAAGCATGTGTGTTCCCCAAATCTCAGGGAGGGAATCTGGCCAGGAGAATGGGTTCTTGTAAAGCAATGCGCAGAGCTCAGAAATGACGTAGCCAATAACGACAACAGGAGTACCAACTGAACTCTACTTAGCACTTACTGTGTATTAGGGTCTGTGCAAAATGCCCCATGCTGCTTGTTTTCAGTTAACTCTATCCTGGTGTGGCACTGTGAGATCAGCACTGGACAGCAAACCCCAAAGTTGGTGGGTCAAACCCTTGGAAACCCTGTAGAGGGTCACTGTGGGTTGGAACTGACTTGGCGGCACTTACCACCACCACCATACGGTAGATCTAATTATTATCCACATGTACAGGCTTATCCAGAGGGTCACACAGCTAGTCAGGAGTGGAGCCAGAATTCAAACTCAGGACTGCTAGCTGCTGGAGTGAGTGGTAGGCCTGCTCAGCTCCTGTACAGCAGTGTGGGAGAAAGAACGTCAGTCTGTACTCAGACAGACATGGATTTCAATCATGACTCTGAGACCTAGGCAACTCAATTGGCTCAGTACTTCCCACTGTAGGATGGAGGTAAAGGGTGCTTTAAGGAACGAATGAGACACTATGTCTGTAAAGCACCAGCCCATGGCCTGATACAGATAAAATAAGGGGGTAACAGTCATTAGCCCCCTTCTTCACCATGCTGAGTGCAGCGGGACTATTGTACTTACAGCAACCGAAGTAACTGAAACAGCCGCTCAGCACAGGAGGTGGGGGAAGTACAGGCACAGAGAAGTTGACTACAACATTATCCAGCAAAAAAGGAGAAACAACATAAAGGGAGAATACTTATGAATATACATACGTACTCTATACAGGGTCACTATGGGTCGGAACCGACTTGATGGCACTTCACAACAACAAATAAATATTATACTGACAGTTAAGAAACTAGTTGATGCACGCCATAAATCAATTTTTTCTTTAAAAAAAGAAGGCTCATGTGTAACCATATTAATGAGTAACAACTCTGAAAATGACAGTGAGAAATGTCCATGTGGCTGGGAAAGGGCTGACAAAGCATGGAATAACTGAAATATATGAGTGGTCGGGGCAGTGGGACTGAGTGAATTTTCCCTTTTAAAATTCAGAATTTCAATGATTACTGATTTAAAAAAAAAAATTCTACAGCCAAAAATGAGGCCCCGTACTTGAAGGACTAAGTGAACAGCAAGCGTCCTACTGTGTTTGGGCTGTTTTCTGGGGGCTGCTGAGGGCAGGACGTACCTTCCGTGTTCACCACGATGATCCCCTGCACGCCCTTCTGGCTCTGAAGCCGCTTCAGGGTTTCTTCCACCTCTGCCTGCCGGAGAGAATCAGAGCAATGTTAGGAGGGGCCAGCTAGGCATGATTCAGTCCTGCATACCCCAGACAGATAAGCCACACAATATCTTCCAACAATAAACAAGTAACATAACACCCCATCCCTTGACACCTCCTCAAAGCTCCCAAGGCCTGTTCAGAGTGTGGTCCCTAGGTCACCACCAGCATCTACATGCTTACATCTTCAAGCTAGGGTAGGGCTGCTCCTGGTCCTTGCCCACCAAGTGTTCTTAATCTTTTACTCCCTCAGCTATTTGGAAGCAGAATATAAACACCATTCTTAGGTATATACATATTCATGACTCACACATGTGGTGTAGTTGAGGGGCAGGACTTGATGTCCAGAAAAAAGCCCCAAACAGTGCTGTTTAACAGGAAGGAGACACTTTGTTATTTGTGACACAAATGAAAACATTTTAAAGGAAGCAAAATGATCCCATGAGGACAGTCTCAGTGACGTACTAAGCTGGCACATGGCACATAGCCACAAGCAACATGCCTCAGGAAGGGGCTTGTTAATCCCGATTTTCCAGAAAACTGTAAGGGTGGGATACTCTGGCATATGGAATTTGTAAACAGAGGGGACAGTGAACATGCTTGGGTCCTCAGCTACTCTCTCTTACTGGGTCCCTTTCCCGCCACTCTTTATCCACATATCCAGACTTTCCTGGCTTCACATCTTCTTACTCTACAAGGCCTCTTCTCTGCTGAAATCCAACAAATTCTTCTAAACCACCTAAGACTTCATTTCCCCCATGAATCATTTACTGACTCAATGGGGAATCCCAAACCTTGGGAATCTGACTCCCCAAACCTTGGCTGTTCTCTCGGGGGGCATGTAACAGGTACTATGTTAAAAGCCTCTACAACAGTCTACAGAGAAGGGGCTAAACAAATAGCTGCTTAACTGAACTAGGCCTCACCCTTTCTGTGGGTGGAAACTGGGCATGCAGTGTGCCTGTTCAGGAAGGCCCCCTCAGCTTGGCCCAGGATCCAGCCAGAAGCGCCTCAGAGGTTGAGAGTCAGACTCTGTTAGAAACAGAGGTTCCATTCACCACAAGAGTGTGGTTCCCCACCCCCAGGGGAAGGGCTCCTAGGCAGTGGGGAGAGATGACACAATGAATGACTGTTTTTCTGGAAGGCATAAGCTGGTAATCCAGTCACCACCACCCACTCCCCAGTGATGTAAAAACACTGTCAAAGATGCCTGCTGCTGGTTGTTGTACGCTGTCGAACTGATTCCTACTCACAGTGACCCTAGTGTGGCGCTGTGGGACAAAGCACTAGACAGAAAAGTCAGTTTGAACCCAGGGACCTGATTTGATGGCACTTAACAACAACATAGTGATCCTATATGACAGAGTAGAACTGTCCCATAACATTTCCTAGGAGTCCTGGTGTGGCACTGTAGGATAAGCACTGGACTACTAACCTCAAGGTTGGCAGTTTAAACCCACCAGCTGCTCCTTGAAAACCAGCACAGGGTCATTATGAGTCAGAACCGACTCCACGCACTTAACAACAACAATCTTCACAGGAACAGGAAAGGGCAAACAGGTTCCTCCTACAATGAATGGCAAATAGCCTGACACTTCCAAAATCAGGAGCCTTGGTAAAAGGACAGAACATGTGTATGTGAGAATTCACGCCACAGACATTCACTAGGCTCCTGCTACGTGGCAAATGCTGTCCTGGGAGAGAGAGGAGAGAGATAAAGTTCCACAGTGATCAAAACTGTACCCTTCTCCTTGAAATTCATCCTAAACAAAGAATCCAAAAGAATGAAAAAGATAACCACAGCAAGATGCTTACTGCAATGACATCCTGCAACATCAAAAAGCAGAAAGAACCAAAAATACATGACACTTAAGGAAAAGGTCAAGTAAACTATGGAACATCCACTTAGAGGAACATGATACATCTATTAACAAGGATGCTTATATTAAGTTATTGCATCAGGAAAGGTTTCTGCATGTGAAAACAACAAAATGTAAACTGAAACCATGTGAAAACAATAGGAAGGCTAGAGGAGATTAGGAAAAAGATAAAATGCCACATCAAGAACAGGAAATTAGAGAGGTTTTTTTGGCCCCTCCCCCTCCCAAACAGATTTTTATCTCACGTACTGTTTCTATAAAACATGTTCTAAGTCCTTCTCTTTGTATGTATTCAAGAGAGCGGTCTCTGCTGGGGGGCCACAGCACTCTGACTCTCTCAACACTGTAAGAGCAAGACCAGTACCTGGATGACAATCTGCAATCAACACAGGACGGAAATGTCAAAGAAAGCTAAAACAAAGATGTCAGAAACAAGGTCCAAAACATTTGTTAGATGCTGGAAAATGGGCCTGGACTGAAAGAGAGGAAACTGCATGAGAACCTCTGGCCCAAAGAAGGTTCTCATGTAGTTACTAGATGCAGAGAGTCGTTTAGGCCTGGTTGTTGTTAAGTTCCAACTCATAGTAACTAGGTATAGGGCTTCTAAGGAGCAGCTGGTGGGTTTGAACTACAGACCTTGTGGTTCACAATCCAGTGCTAATCCTACAGTGCCACACCAGGTGTCCTTTTACGCCTGGGGATGCTAACAAAAGAATATCTGCCCTGACAAAGTTAACATTTAAGTGGGGGTGGGGTGGGGGTTGGGGGAAGGCAGTCACCCATTAAACAAGCAAACAAACAACCCCAGTAAAACGTCAGCCATAGCAGAGGAGTCCTGGTGTGACGACGCTATAGGATAATGTGCTGGACCTCAAGGCTGGTTTGAACCTCGAAATCAGTGGGTCACACTCACCAGCTGCTTCTTGGAAACCCTATACACAGTTACTAAGAGTCGGAATCGACTGGACAACACTTAACAACAACAACGTAGTAGAGAAGGGGGATCTAGAATGCAGAGGCCAATGGCAGTTTAAAATACGATCCTCAGGAAAGACGTTGTTAAGGTGATATTGAAGTAGACATCTGAAGGAAATCAAGGAACAATTCATGTAGATTTCTGGAGGGTTCCAGACATCAGGAAGAGCCAAGTACATAAATCCCTGAGTTGGAAAAGTGGTTATGTTCAAAGAAAAGGAAGGATGCTAGAGTAGTTCAAATGCAGTGAGCAAGGGGAAGAAAGAAAGATGGGTGTTGAAAACAGAGAGGTAGCCAGCATCAGACCACAATGACTTTGGTTTTCACTGGTGACGTTTCAAAGGATGGCTCTGGCTGCTGAGTTTAAGGGACAATCAGAGAAGGCAGTGAGCCCCGGCTTCCTTCCTTCAGAATGAAGCACCCCTCTCTACTGCACTTACCGCCTGGTGTGGCTAACTCCCTTCTCAGCTTCCATGGTTAGTTAATATGATCTCCATTTGACAGATCAAGAAACTCCCGTTCAGGAAGAGTTTTGCCCAAGGGCATTCAGCAGATCAACAGGAGAACTGAGTGACTACAAATGATGAAAGTCCCTGCTCCCAGAGAGCTCACAGTCAGGAGGAAATTGTTGTTGTTAAGTGCAGACCCACAGAGACCCTGTATAAGGTTTTCCAAGGAGCAGTTGGTGACCTTGAACCGCTGACCTTGCAGTTCACAAGGCTTTGCAGTCTGGTGCATTAACCCATAGCATCACACCAGGAAGAGACCCTGGGAAAAACAAGTGAGCACATGATTCACGCTGGGTACAGGGACAGGAGGTGGGGTATGAGATACTACTTTGGCTGGTGCGGAGGTAACCTTAAGCCAAACCCTATATTATGAGGAATAAAAGCATTCCAGGAAACTAAAGGCAGTGAAGGAGGAACAAGTTAGGCAGGTTCAAATAACAGGAAGATGACCAGTATTTCCCAGTTGTCTTTGTTAATCTGGTTGTTGTGGCTATGACGTGCTGTTGATTCCGACCCATAGCGAGCCTGTATAGGGTTTCCAAGGAGCAGCTGGTGAGTCTGAACTACCAACCTTGCAGTTCAAAAGACTTTGCTACAGTGCCACACCAGGACTCCTGTTAATCTGGTATGCAAAAAATAAAAAGCCAACATTCTTTAATTTTTTTATGATTAGTCAAGTTGAAACAAAAATCAATGACTGTTTGTATCTCCCCTTTGAAGCTTCTGATTTTTCTATACATCTTGTTTATTTGCAAAACCTCTGTATGTTAGGGATAGTAGACCTTTGTCCATCATATAAATTACACTTCCGCCATTTTTTCCTCATTTACTTTTATGATACTTTCTTCAATAACAGAAGTTTAAACTGTTCATATAGTCAAATTTAATAAAAACGTTGTCCTGTAAGACAGGACAACAGTTTCTCCAAGCTGCCCCCAACCTGTAGGATGGATTAGGTGTGGGGGAGTTATGAAGCTAGAGCTCCAGCTATCTGTCTGGACTCAGAGAAACTGCTTAAAAGAAACCTGAAACTTAGTCCAAAAGGAAACAAAAAAAAAAAGTGTTGTCCAAAAGACCAAGCCGTAATAGGGGATTTCTGGATGGGAAAGAAGAGTCCTTTTAAGGTATCCTAGTAGGCCAGCCCTGCCTCAGGACTTTGCCATCTCTGTACTCAACTAGTACCAAACCTATCTGGGTCTGAATATGCCGCTCCACCAGGCCAGCTCACGTCTCAATGTCTCCTTTTCCCAGAGTGGACCCAAGCGGTAATCTCAGCATCCTGGCTCTTTAGTACTATTCATAATGGTGTCTCTGCACCAGGGAAGGAGACAAAACTCCTGGGCTTTCTACTTTCCAAGTACATGCTGCAAGAGATGAATAAATAAACAGCAAGGATTTATTGGCTTTGTATCGTAAGAATAATGATCTGTGAAGCAAATGATTCATAAAGAAACTGTGACCAATTTGACTACTTAAAACTAATGCAAAACAAAAATGGTAAAATAGGATAAAAAAGCATTTACATGTGATGCAAGAGTAATTCCAAAAGACATCACACAAAATGACAAAAACAGTAATCTCTAATAGGTAAGTGGGCAAAAGGATACTAACAGCAAATACATCTAAGAGAAATTACAAACACACATAGGATGTATTACAGGAACCATAAAAGTGTTGGTCCTTTGTCTCAGAAATTCTTTACCTGAAAATTTATCCTAAGGAAATAATCCAATAGGTTAAAAACAAAAAGCTATATACATATATAGACGCAGTCCTGGTATGGCACAAGGCCGGTTTGAACTGCAAAGTCGGCAGTTCAAACTCACCACCTGCTCTTGGAAACTCTGTAATAGGGTCGCTATGAGTCAGAACTGCCTCGATGATACGTAACAACAACAACAACATATACAGACACGGAGCCATTCATCACAGCATTAGCTCAACCAATAAAACAAACTGGAAACAATTCAAATGTACAGGCAAATCATGACACAGTGATTTCACGGATTCTTATGCAGTCACTAAAAGTCATCAAAAAGTGATGGAGCAAAAAGGTTACATGCTTTTGAGGTAATAAAATGAATTAAAGTAATTAACGAATACATCTTAAAAAAATATGCACATGTGAGAAATGCAGCAGGAAAACAAAGATGAAAATAGTTGTGTGGTAGAGTCCCACTCAAGAATTATGGATGGATGCATTTTATATCTTCATTCTAAAGGGCAACCTAGCAATTTCTATCAAAGTACAAAACATGCATGCCAGAAGTGGGAATCTTCTGTACAAATACTAGTGTGAGTACAAAGAGACAATCACAGTTATTGCAGTATTATCTGGAGTGAAATACTGCAAATCACCTCAACATATATATTACAATAAATCCACTGCTGCCAACTCAGTGCTGACTCACAGCAGCCACACAGAGCTTCAACCTGTGGAGCAGCTGGTGGATTCCAACTGCATCCTTTCATTTCATGGGCAAGCACCTAACCACTGCGCCACCAGAGCTGCCATAATGCAATACAGTCCTTAAAAAGACTGATGTAAATCTGCTTATACTGACATGGAAAAAGTGTTTTTATTTTGTAAGGTTTTTATTGTGGATTGAGTGAAAGTTTACAGGGCAGATCATCAGTTTTACATTCAACAATTCATATAACTTGTTTCATCACAATGATTATAAACCCCTCCATGTACCATCAGTTAACGGTATTTCTCTCTATTCATTTTAGCTCTTTTTTTAAAAAAACAAAAAAACACTCAGGCATATATAATAATTTATACCTCCAAAGGGCACACTCTGCAACTCTGTCTCCTGCCCTCCAGCTCTTAGTCCCTCTCTTCCCATGAATCTAGAGTCCTCAGCTGCTCCCTCTCTCCATGTCCCCATCTCTGCCTCCATCTCAGGTATTGCTGAATAGGTCTCGCATTCCGCTTGTGCTCTTCTCCCTTGATGGTCCTAGGATCCTTTGTTTCTGAACTGTAAGATTAACTCCTCCCCAGTTTTCATTACAAAACTTCTATCTTTACAAGTGTGACAGTTGCAATTAGTCATGATAACTATTAATCACTATTGAATCAATTGAATCTTATCCCCATCTCTTTCAACCAGACACATCTAGACAAGATGAAAACTATTCAGTGGGGACTCTTTCTTCCCTCACACACTACTAAACTAAACTCCCTCTTGAAACCTTGTAAGCCAGTCACTTCGTGACTTTATTGCCCCCTCATTTTAGGTAGCCAATGTCTAAGTTGCATATGCCCTGTGCACAGAGGGGATAGCATTGATACTTGATGTGAAGACTCCTTTCCTGTCTGTTGATATTTAAGAGTAACTACCTCGATGAGTATAGGTCAGGTTCATCAAATTGTAGCAATTTACCCTAATTTCCTTTATCAAAAATTGTTTTGTTCTTTTTTTTATCCTCTAGTTGAGTTCTGATTATCAAGCCATTGAGTTTAGGTCAAATGGGTACTATCTGTAACTTTGGGTGTTCTTGTACATCTCCCCTCACTTCATATTAGCTGGAAGATTCACTCTTAGCTCTAGCCCTATGTGGCTATGTCCTTGTCCATGAGCTCAGGTCTCACCACACATCAGACCAGCGTACATGTAAACATGTATTGCTCATATGATTATATAAATGCACAACAGCATGGCTGAGGATGCAGAAAACACTGGGCATATATACATGTTGTACAGATATACAGAAACTAACAATGCTTCTGAAGAAGAGAACAGGATGAGGATCAGGGTTGGAAGATTTTTTCACTTGAAGACTTTAAAAATTTTTTTGGTTTGTTAGTTTTACTGTGTGCAAATACCAATTAGTAGAATATTTCATTTTATAATTTAAAATGATATGAAAGATAAAGTTACATATACTTAAAAGCATTATTGTTAAGTGCTGTCAAGCTGGTTCCAACACAGTGACCATGCATAGGGTTTTTGGAGGAGTGGCTGGTGGGTCTGAACACCACCGACCTTGAGGCCCAATGCTTATCCTACAGCACCACAACAGGATGCCTACAGCATTATTACGTTAGTATTAGCTTTAATGAAAGGAAGAACAGGGCCCACACTTTATATTCAGTAGGGGCTAAACGACATAAAATCTGATGCGAATTAGACTGGAAGTAATATGCCCATTTAATTGGTTGCCACTAGGTCGGTAGGACAAGCACTGGATTGTGAACAAGGTGGGCAGTTCAAATCCACCAGCTGCTCTTCAGAAAGCCTATATAAGGGTCGCAGTCGCAGGGAGTCCTGGTGTGGCACTGTGGGTTAATGCGTTAGACTGCAAAGCCGTTTGAATTGCAAGGTTGGTGGTTCAAGCTCACCAGCCGCTCCTCGGAAACCCTATACGGGGTCGCTATGGGTCGGAACTGACTTGATGGCACTTAACAACAAGAAGTTGGACTGCAAAGTCGGTTTGAACCGCAAGTTCAAACTCACCAGCCGCTCCTTCGAAACCCTATACAGGGTTGCTATGAATAGGAACCGACTCGACAGCACTTTAACAAAAAATGAGTCGGAACTGACTCAGCACGTGATGGGCCTAATTAAAAACAAACAAACCTTTAAATGCGTAAATAAAATGTTTGAAATGTTATCAAGCAAAAGGTCGTTTCAAGTTTTTTTATACATTATAAACATTAATAACAAAAACACCTGCTAAGGGTGGAGCCTATGGCTCTAGCCAGTAAGGTGGCTCTGTAGGAAAAGCACTGGACTACGAATCACAAGGTGGGCGGTTCTGGCCAAATAGCTGCTTCGCGGGACAAAGGGGAATCTTTTTGTTCCGGCAGAATTACAGCCTCAGAAACTCCACTGCACTTAACAATGGCGACTCCGCCCTGACCACGTCACGTCCCAGCAGCTTGAAAGCAACATGCTGACAGAATAGCGATTCATCGTTGGTTTCAAACAGGTTAAGAGACAGCTTCTAGGGGTTAAAATCCACTTCCTACTTCCCGGGGGTAAGGCTCTTAGCTTCAGATTCCAAATACGTAAAACAGGGGGAAGGGTGAAAGCTACCTAATAGGATTATGCTGAGGATGTAAAGCACTCAACAGTGCCTAACAGATTAAGCTTCCTGGAAACGCTATCATTATTGTTAGTCAACCAGGCTCAGGACGCAAGGAAGGTAACGCTGTAAGCCCGTCTCCCGGTCTCCGTCGGTTCACCGCCTAGGCTCGAGCTCCAGTTCCGGTCTCGCCGGTTGCCGTGGCTCCGCCTCCACCTCGCCGCCCAGGTCCAGAGGCCCGAGCCGCCAGGGGTCCGCCCTCCAATCAGCCCTAGCTCGGCCCCGCCCAGCCCCGCGGGTTCCTCGCCGGCATTCTAAGACCCTTGAAGATGAGCAGTTTAGCGCGGGGTGGAGGGCATACGTGGCTGACTAGTTTTTAGCCACCAGGCACAAACCTCGGGAACACACTTACCATCTCGACAGACCGGATAGCTCCGCGTCGCTGGCACTCAGTACACCCAGTGCTTTTTTGCGCCTGCGCGCACAAATCATGTAAAAACTGACGGTTCCAACAGCCTATCGGAGCCAGAGTGGAGTTGGCCGACGGGCGTTCCTCAGGGTTCCTGGAGAATTTCTCCTGCACTGTCCGAAACGGATAAGCAAAGGAACACTTGACTATGGAAATTTGTCAACTCCGGCTATGCCGAAAAGATGCTGGTTTGCGGTCTTAGGAATGGCTTTTAAACCCTCAGTCAGAGCTGGCTCTAGCATTCCTGCGGTGGAGGATGGTGGGCGAATGGAGGCGAATGCTAAGATTTTTGCATGCAGAGGCAAAGCCAAAACGAGCCTAAAACAGCCTGGGATTGGGACTAGAGTCAGGTGTCTGTTAGGTCCCTAGAGAGTCCCTGATGTGAATTTTCCATGCAGACTCAAAGTGGTTAAGGCTAACCTGGGAGTCCCGAAGCACAGAACTCAGAGCTCAGCCCCACCCCTGTGTTACCTTGGAGAAAACGCTTAACTCTGATCTCGTTCTCTAGCCTTTAAAAAAGAATTTATCAGAGTCCTTGGGGTCAGAGAAAAAGAGGAAGACCCCCAGCGAGATGGATTGGTAAAGTGGCTGCATCAGTGGGCTCAAACATGGCAACAATAGTTAGGTTTGCCCAGGATCGGGCAGGGTTTCGTTCTGCTGTGCATAAGGTCGCCATGAGTCAGTACCGACTCGATGGCACCTAACAACAACAACAACCAGAGTCTTGGTGTGGCGCTGTGGGCTAATGCATCAGACTGCAAAGTCAATTTGAACTGCAAGGTTGGAGGTTCAAGTTCACCACTGCTCCTTGGAAACGCTACACAGGGTCACTGTAGGTCGGAATCGACTCGAGGGCACTTAAAAACAAAACCTGCTAAGGTGGCGATTCAAACCTACCAACCGCTCCTCAGGGAGGTGTTTCACCCCCACCCCCGCAAGATTTACAATCTTGGCAATCCTATACGGGGTCACAGTAAGTCGGAACCGACTCGATGTCACACCATCACTACCACCAGTCGTAATCAACTGGATGGCTGCGGATTTATAGCCTCTTTAGAGGAGCAGTTCACACTACCTGAAAAAGGAAACAGGATGAGAGTCAGGGTTGGGAGGGAGATTTTCACTTAGATTCTTTTATATTTTGTTTTGTTTTACTGTGTGCAAATACCAGTAGAAAATGGAAAATTTTTACAATTTAAAAGCGATTTTTTATGTGTATTTAAAAGATGTCTTTAATGATGTGGAGGCATTCTTTGTGCTTTGATAATAAATGTAAAAAGCAGGTCCCACAATGTATATTTAGTAGGTGCTAGTCCTGGTGAAAGGAGCTCTGGTAGCGTAGTGGTTACAAATCGGGCTGCGAACCTTAAGGTCAGCGGTTCGAAACTACCAGCCGCTCCGCGGGAGAAAGATGAGGCTTTCTACTCCCGTAAGGATTTACACCCTCGGAAACCCTGTACAGGGTCACTATGGGTCGGAACCGACTCGACGGCACTTAACAACAACAACAAGTCCTGGTGAAGGAGCTCTGGTAGCGTAGTGGTTACAAATCGGGCTGTGAACCTGAAGGTCAGCAGTTCGAAACGACCAGCTGGGTTCCGCGGGAGGAAGATGAGGCTTTCTGCTCCCGTTAAGATTTACAGCCTCGGAAACTCTGTACAGGGTCGCTATGGGTCAGAACTGACTCGACGGCACATAACAACAACAAAGTCCTAGTGAGGAGTCCTGGTGTGGTGCTGTGGGTTCGTGTGCCAGACTGCAAAGCGGTTTGAACTGCAAGGTAGTCGGCAGTTCAAGCTCACCAGTTGCTCCTTGGAAACCCTGTACAGGGTTGCTATGGGTCGAAACCGACTCGACAGCACTTAACAGCAAGTCCTGGTGTGGCGCTGTGGGTTAATGCGCCAGATTGCAAAGCGGTTTGAACTGCAAGGTGGGTGGTTCAAGCTCACCAGCCGCTCCTCGAAAACCCTATACAGGGTCACTATGGGTTGGGATCGATTCGACAGCACTTAACAACAAACTACATAAAACAAAATCATTGCTTATAGGGAGAAAGCTATGGGAGTCACTTTCCATAGATTTACATCTTGGAAAGCCTGTGGGGGCAGTTCACATCTTATCACCACACGGACTTGGTGCTACTCCTTCCAGGTGTGTCTGCACGGTAAGAGGACTAGAGAGTGACTTCATAGTGATGAAACCTGATGGAAACCATCTCAACCAAGAGATCAGCATTGGTCATTGGACATAGTGATAGCATATCCCCGATAGGAAGCACTTAAAGGGTACATTAACTCTACGGTACTTTTCACAAAAATTCATAACCGTAACCATGGGGAAACCTCAAACCCAAACTGAGGACATGACCAAGCAAACACCAAATGAAACCCATTGCCCTTTAGCTGATTCTGACTCCTAAGCGACCGTACTGGACAGAGAACTACTTCTTCGGGTTTCCACCACTGTAAATCTTTATGGAAGCAGAAAGTCTCATCTTTCCCTCATGGAGCATCTGGTAGGTTTGAAACACTGACCTGTGGTTAGCAGCCCTGTACTTAACCCACTGTACCACCAGGGTTAAGTACAAATTGGAGTCTAAGACCATATATGAGATAGAATTATCTCCAGCTTTCTCCGCCCTCACCTAGTACTCCACCTGGTACTCTATAAAAATATTAAGTGCATGAAAGATGGAACAAACAACGACTTGTCAGACTGCTGATATGCTAAGGTGTCCTGGTGGCAGAGTGATTAAGAGTTTGGTTGCTATGTGAAAGGTTGGTGGTTTGAACCCACTAGCAGCTTCTGTAAAGATGGTTGTTAAGTGCTATCTTAGTTGATTCTGAGTCATAGAGACCCTTTATAGTGTCCCAGGAGAGGCTGGTGTATTTGAACCACAGACCTTGCAGTTAGCAGTTGTGCTTATCCTATAGTGTCACAACAAAACTCCTCTGTAAAGATTGTTGTTGTTAGTGCCATCGAGTCAGTTCTGGCTCACAGCGATTTTGTACAGGGATCATAACCATCATCTTACCATTGGAGAACAAATCTAAGAGAGGTACAAATATTTAACAAGATCACATTTCCAGACAGAATGACCAAAAACAGTTCAGTGTAAATGGAGTCAAAATGAGGGCGGAGAAAACTGGAGATAATTCTGTCTCATATATGGTCTTAGATTTCAGTTTGTTCCCTTATCTTCAAATAACTGTGAAACTTCCGAAAGTTACGCACTCACTTTGAGCCTATATTTCTCACCTGTAAAATACAGTAAGAGTGGCTAAGAAGACAAAATGACACTGCATGTAGTCTGTGTAGCAGTACCTGACATTTAGTAATAAATGTTGGCCACTGTCCTGGGATTAAGTGCCTATGGATGTGGTACTGCTCACTAGATGAGGAAGGTTAAGTACAAAAGCAGTTTGTATTGCAAGTTCTCAAGTTTTTTCTCTGTGCAGTGCTTTGAGGAGACCTCTTACCATAGTCATACTTTGCTGAGGAGTAAGATTCCCCTAGCCACCACCTTCACCCACCCAAAATCCTAACCTCAAAGGAGCTCTTCCTATTACATTACAGAACTGACGAATGTAACGGGCTGGAGTGACAGCAGTTTTTGCTGAAGTTACACAATGTAAGACATTCTTCCTAAAAGTCCAGAGATTAGCCAGCCAACCACAGCTGACACCTGTTTGATGCTTTGTGTGGGGTCTAGGGCTAGAGAGTCAAACAAATGTCAGTAAGAGCAATTATGTATTTCCCAATGAAAGGTTTCCTCACAGTGAGGGGACATACCTTCCCCCCTTTGAGGCTAGAATGTACTAGCTTAGCTGCTTATATGGGACAGATTAAACTGAATGTAGCCTTCTCTTCAGGGCTGGAGGGGCCTGCAGTTTCTACCCTCCAGTCCCTGTTAGATCAGCATATTAGAAAATTTCACTTCCCTTAGTCTGTAGCCATTGGCATCATTTTAAATGAGAGTATGACTACCTGGTTTCCTAAAAGGAAGAAGCCTATTTGAAGCTGGGGAGCAGGCCAGATTGTTGATAAGATCTGGTCTTGGGTATTCTTTACTCAGCACATTCATGGAGTCCGTCTTTCCTGTCTTTGAGTACCTTCAGTTGTATCAGAAAAATGAGTGTTTCCATCTTTATTTTCTCCAATGTAGGAGCCAAATCTAATCTCACCTGAGTAGGTCTTTGTAGATTTTTTCCTGTTTACTCACAATACAGAAAGCCTATAATGTTCTCACTTAAAAAAGCAGAGACAGAAATCTATAGGACCTGCTCACATGGCAGTTTCTCTGGAGGTAGGGAACACCTTTTTATTGTTATCCAAGACTAACAGAAAAATATGCAAATGATGGACCAAAAAAGTTTAATTATAAACATAGTCTTACATCTTTCACGAAAAATGCAAGTGAGGCAGCCCCTTAAGGACTTTTATAAAAATGTGACTCCCTGTAAAAGCTGCAGAGTTACCTGAGTATATGAAATTACAGTCCAAGGAAACAAAGGAACTCCAGTACAATATCATACAATCCAGTGCTGCCATTTCATTTCACTTAGTTAATGAAAGCATATATAGAAACAACTTTTCACATAACTCTAAAAGAAAAAAAAAGGGGGGGGGGGCTGGAGATACCAACAATTACTAAAAAGAAGTAGTTAAACCTACAGATGTTTAGATGAATGGAGTTATATAAAAAATAAGGAGGGATATAAAAGACAGAGAAACCTAATTCCTATGGTTCACTCAGATATCCACAAGTCACCCCTGATAACATTTCAGATTATTAACCAGGTTAAGAAAAATCAGTAAAGTGGACTTGAGTGAAATTGTTTGTTTAGGATGAGACTTTTGTGGGTATTTGAGTTATGATTCACTATAATTTCTGATGAACTGCCATTGGTATATCAGACTCGAAGAAAAAATCATGTATGAATTTTAAATAGAGTTATTGTAAGTCTTATGAAATAGAATTTGTTTGCACTCTGTCATTCAGATCATAAAAGAAAAGAGCAGGAAGTCATTACTGTGTGCTGCTGGATCAGTTTTAACGACTCCATTTGATGAAATCAGTGAGGTCCTTTTCCACCTGACCCAGGCTGTGAAACATACTGCCTTTCCCAATCCCCAAAATAGCAGAAGAATAAGGCAATTGTCATTTTACTTTGTTTTTATTTCAATGTAACATGCAGTAAAAAAAAAAAAAAAAAAATTAACAGGATTAGCATTTACAATGCTTACAAGAAAAAGGACTAAAAGCAATTTAGTGTAGATTTAAGAAATTGCTCTAATTCAACACTTACAATAAATCTATTTCCAAATGTTCAGTTTAGTCCAAAATTTATGATAGCATTTGGTAAATATTTGTGTCTGCTGTCTATTTGCAGTATTTTTATATAACCTCTGATTCTTGGGATATCCAGCCCCCATTGTCCTAACACAGCAGGGAAGACATATACATGTGGCCATTTAAATTAAAGGAAGAAATGGAGTAAGGGAGATCCCAGGCTGCAAAAATATATACAAGCATTTACCTTTTCCAGAACTAAACGTTTCTTCCATAAAAATATTAAATAGCCAAGCCCTATAGAACTAGGGCCAGGTCTACTTCAAATATAACTATTCTGTATTTTAAAAATATAGGGCAGAAAGCCTTTTGGGTGATATTTATACAGTTTCACACAATATTTCTAGGTCCCTAAATGAATCATGAAGCATTATGTAGAACAAAACAAATAGCTATTTTCTTACATTATCTCTTAATTTAATCTCATAAATCTCTTGTAAATATTGTAGGTAACTACATTTCAATATGAGAATTCACCTCAAGAGGAAGTCTTTATAGAAGGCTTATTAATCTCCATAGCCACATATTACCAAAGTTCAGACGTGTACAATGAATGCGTAGTTGGCAGACATTCGCTCTGTAAGACAAAGCAATTAGCATATTTCCCCCCCTACCAATAAAAAGGCAGAGAGTCCCTACTCTGAAAATAACTAGGGCTTTTGGAGACTATACTACATTTCCTGGGGTATACAGAATGAAATATAAAATAGAGTTAGGAAGAGCCTAACCTCTGCCTTGACACTAATGATCTCTGGATAAAGCAACCCTTTTGAGTAAGTTTCTGTTTTATGATGGCAGTGTCTTTAGAGTACACAAGTTAAAAATGGTCTTGTTGTTTCAGGATTTAAATGGGGACAAACGACATCACTTTCCATATAGAATAAGGGTTCATTAGCCTTTGCTTACTCTTTTGACTTAATGCTACATGTTTGTGCTATGTTACGAAAACCTGTCAAAGTCCCTGTTTCTTGAGTAAGGAGGCTGTCCTCAGGGTTCAGCTACGACAGCTAAACTCAGCTAGTTTAGGCTTTATCCCATGGTCTATATAAAAAAAAAACTATGACAGCAACCATCTCAACAGAGTCTAAATTAGGCCACATTAAAATAAATTAAGTACAGAGAAGTTCAAAGTGCATTAATTGGCTACGAGAGGAGCAATCTAAAATTAAACAGTAAAAGGAAAAAGAAAACTAAATTTTTTCAGTGTGAAAAGAGTGGTAAAATTTCATGATCCAGTCGGTTGCTACTGGACACAGCTGTGTTTTGCCCTTTGTAGGTAAATTCCCTGTCAGTAAGTCATCTCTTTTATTCTCTTTTCAGTAAAAACTAATGTTTCTCAGATAAAAAAAAAAAATTGCAAGTGAGGGATGTTAATTCAACTCAGGGTAATATAAAAATTAAAATAATTATTAACGTGTCAGACAAACAATAAATTTGAAGACAATTCAGAGATTGCATTTCTGTGGTTACTAGAGGGTAACTCTTCCATTTTAGTCAGTACAACAGCTCTCCAAAATTAAAATGTAATTTCAGATGATGTTTTGGACTAGAAAGCACTCTGGTTACAATCTGAAGTGCTCGGTAATAATAAAATATTGGTAGGTTAAGATAAAACAATAAAGATGCAATCTTTTCCCATATAAAAATCTTCATTGATGGCTTTAGATGGATTCAGCTTAATTAATTTCAATTCTAGGTTAATTTTTAGAAATAACAGTAATGGAACCACAGTGTTAATATTGTCAAGTTTAGTGTTTCAAGGTGATTAAAAACAATAAAAATTTCCAAATGAGGAGAGGTATGAAGTAATTTGCAGGCTGGGACCGACTTCTCCCTGAATTCAAATTTACAAAGCTACTTTGTAGAGAGCCAGAGTCCTGCATCACTTCCAAGTATAACATCGAATGGTGCATGGGTTCATGTTCCAGAAAGGAAAACAACAGTCAGGCCAGGCTGAAGTGAGAGGGAGAGCTTATGGTCCCCATAAGCTGGGTTAAACTTGAACTTGGAACAAGCACCTCTTAACAAGAGGCTTAATATGAAGATTTTGCATATCATAGTTACCAAGGATTTCCCTGCATATCTGCAGAATCTTAAAAAGAACTCCTACTCCCAAGTGAGACTTTTGACACAAGTGTAGAAAATTGTTAAGGAAACAATCTAGTTGAATAGGACAAGGCAGATTTCATTGCTGTGTTAAATCTCAGGTTAAGTATGGTTTTGACTAGTTGCTTGCAGATCTGATTTCTGGAAACATTGAAGAGAAATCTGGAATCATTGGGAGAAAAATCTCAATGATAACAGGAATTTACGTACACACAGATAACTCTCTAAACAGTCACAGTCCAATTTACAACAAGATGTGCAACAGGCAAAGAGGGCAAAGGACAAACATTATAAATGTGTTCTTGTCCTTTGGTGGTGCAAATTCTCAGAAGTTATTCTTGTCCAAATCCTTCTGTTTCTTCAATGGCAAATAACAGTTTTTCTTTGAGTTGCTCATAACTCTTATAGGGTGGCAGGTCCAGGCGGTTAAAACTAAAAGTAACAATTGTTAAGTTGACATAAATATACAAAAATCACATTATCATAATAACTCGGGCAAAACAAGATTCAAATCCCTATTCTGTCTCTTGGTCTTTAAGTGTTTTAATCTTTCCAAGTTTCAGTTCTTCTTTGGTAAAATGGCAATAACATCATCTACCCTTAAGGTGCAGTGAAGAGGAATTAAGCAGCCACATGACAGTGCTTAGTGCTCAGCAAGTACACAATAAAATCATAGTTTCCCCAGCCCATTGCAATTCTACATCAGAGAGCAGCAAACTTTATCTGTGAAAGGTTGTCTACGAAAGGGCCAGTAAGAGAGTCAGATTGTTTTTGCAGGCCACAGGGTCTCTTTTCAAAAGGTTTTACTACTACTACTACTCTAGAGTGAAAAATGATTTTCTGCTCCCACAGGATTTCTGTTCTATTCTTAGCCTGTGAGCTTTTAAAAGGCATCTCTTGTAACTTTGGGCCATATCAGTATCAACATCACAAGGTAACAGATAATGAATCCACCCTAAATCTTTGGCCCTGCTATGTTTCTATATTGTTGTTAAGTGATGTTGAGTTGGTTCTGACTCATAGCAACCCCTTTATAGGATTTCTAAAAGCAGCTGGTGAGCTTGAACTGACAATCTTGTGGTTTGCAATCCAGTACTGATACTAACAGCACCACACTAGGAGTCCCAACTGATGACTAGATATACAAAATGTGGTGTAACCATACAATGGATTATTATTTGGCCAAAAATAAGTACGAATACAAGTTAAAACATGGATGAATCTTGTAAACAATATTCTAAGAAGTTAGACATAAAAGGCCACATATTGCATGATTCCATTTATATGAAACATCCACAATAGTAAATCCATAGTCAGGAAATAGACCAGTAGTTACCAGGGGCTGGGAGCAATTGGGAGAACTAGGGAGTGACTACTAGTGAGCATAGAGTTTTTCTTTGAAGTGGAAACAATGTTCCTGGCATTAGTGGCTACAGCTGCACAACACTGTGAATAGACTGAACATCAATGAAGTGTACACTTAAAAAAGTGAATTTTATAGTATATGAATTATGTCTCAAGGATTTATTTGAAAAGTATTACAGATATGTATATTTTTTATAATATAAAAGAACAGAAAACAAATTAGTAGAAAGAGGTGATGAAAATAACCCAGCAAGGTTCATGTATGTCTACTGAAATAATGTTTCACAAAATAAAGTTAAAATACTGTTGATATCAGGCTACTGTATCTGAGGTAAGATTAGGATTGGCTTTAATTTTTTACATTTTTATTAATGTGGTTAGAGTATATTTATAATGGGAAAATAACATTTCTAATTACCATGTTAGAAATAACATTTCTAATAACTATTTACACTTTGATTTCTCTCTCTTTAGAAAAATTAAGTCTCTAAATACCTCATTTAAAAAATTCAGGGGGTAGGAAAAGGGAATGATGGCAGATGGGCACAAGAGATTGTTTGGAGTGATGTTAATTTTGCTTCAAAAAAGCTGCTAAAATAACTTATTACTATTAAACATATTTCATTTCTAATAGTTAACATCTACATAATAACTGGGAAAAGGCTACTAATTTATTCTTTCTAACTTTACTTACCATGTATGGCTTCTGGGTAACCAATTTTCTTTCCCAACTTTTTCAATGCAAAACTTCTGCGGTCCATTGCTCCCTAGATATAATAAAAATAGTTTGTCAACACAGTGGTTCTTAAGAGTATGTTCCACTATATAGCAGCAGCAGCATCACTAAGAAATTTGAGTTAGAAACTTTAAAGGTAGACCTCAGCAATATTATGTTTTAACAAGTCTCCAAGGTGATTCTGATAAATGCTAATATCTGAGAACCATTATGTTAATGTATGCCCAAGAAGAGAAAATGCACTTTTATTCAGCATTCCATAGCTTGTTGTTGTTGTTGAGTGTTGTCGAGTCAGTTTCGACTCATAGTTTCTGAGGAGTAACTGGTGGTTTGAACTACTGACCTTGTGATTTGCAGTCCAGTGCTGATACTACAGAACTACACCAAAGTCCATTCCATAGCTAGAATACCACAACATTATGATTACTTATCAGCTCACATGAGAACAGAGCCCATAAAAAGCATTATTTAAAAAAAAAATAGTTCTAAACACAATAGTGAAACTACCATAAGATAAGCACTAGACCTCAAAGTTGGTTTGAACTGCAAGGTTGGTGGTTCAAACTCACCAGTTGCTCCTCAGAAACTACTTAAAGGCACTTAACCACAACAAACACAAAGTGAAACTACAATCTACTGTCTTGTACAAAAACACTTGACTTAGATGCAGAATTGCTAAAGCTTTATAAAATATAAACATCCTAACTAGCTGCCATTAAGTGAACTGTGACTAATGGCAATCCTGGTGTCAGAGAACTGCATACCATAGGGTTTCAATGGCTGGTTTTCCAGAAGTATACCAACAAGACCTTCTGCCAGGGTATCTCTTGTTAAGTGTTGTTAAGTCAGTTCTGACTCATAGCAACTCTGTATAGGATTTCCAAGGAGCACCTAGTGGGTTTGAACTGTTGACCTTCTAGTTCCCAGTTCAGTGTTGATCCTATAGCAATACACAAGGAGTCACAGGATACCTCTAGTTCACGGTGGGGACCGTCTGGTCCATGGGCCCTATAAGGCCCACAAAATCACTTGGTCTGATCCTGCCAAGACAACCATAGTTCCAGCCATTACATGTGTTGTTGTTATTAAGTGCTGTCAAGTCAGTTCCGACCCATAGCGACCCTGTATAGGGTTTTCCAAGGAGCAGCTGGTGAGCCATTACATTGTTGTTGTTAGGTGCTATCGAGTCGACACCGACTCGTTATGCACAGCAGAACGAAACACTGCCTGATCCTGGGCCAACCTCACTACTGTTGCCACACTTGAGTCCA